TCTTCTTCTTCTTCTTCTTCTTCTTCTTCTTCTTCTTCTTCTTCTTCTTCTTCTTCTTCTTATTATTATTATTATAATAATAATAATAATAATAAAAAAGGAAACTGCCTATTCCATAGGTTGGTTTTAATTAAGGAAATGGGATAGGATGAAGTGCTAAATATTCTTCACCTCACTGAACTGATTTCTGTTCCATTACTGCTACTTGAAAAAAGAGTCTCACATCTCTGTCTTAACAAGGAGTTTGGCCTTCATTGCAAATCCTAAGCCGTATGTCGTCTTTATTTAAGTTCAATGCCTGCACTGTATTGATTTTTGACGGATGCAACTTCCACGGGCAGACAGTGATTTGCTTGAAAACCTGGGATAAGAATGTGAAAAAGAGATCAAAGGCGAGCTCTGGCATTCAAGAAGAGGCAGAGAATAGCAGAGCCTCTGAAAAAGTCTAATATATAAATTAAGAGCTAAGAGGTGAAGCCATAATGTTGAAAGAGTCTAAGAGGTCATCTATCCTAACCCAACTCCAATCAGTGTGGTCAGCAACAGCATTCCCAGGAGGAGGGCTACATGGCCTCTTTAAGCACCTTGAGGAAAGGAGGTGTCTAATTTATTCATTCATTTATTAGATTTACATCCCATGTTTATTTTTGGCCAGGTCATGGAGAAGTAAATACCAAATGTTCCTTCTTCTTAATTTTCCTTCAACAACAACCCTGTGAGTTGGGATGGGCTGAGAGAGAGTGACTGGCCTAAAGTCACCCAGCCTATGGGAGGATTTGAACTCATGGGCTCCTGGTTTCGAGTGCAGGACCTTTGCCTCCACACCAAACTGGCTTTCAGTTCTTGCACAATGAAGTTAGACTGGTGGTCCTTGAGCTTCAAAGAAGAAAACAAGTGAGTTTTTAAGTCAGGAGGGGCCAAGAAATTCTGCATTTTTTCATACCATTTCTCTTTCAATTGGAAGAGAATTGGTGTTCAAAAAGGTCTTGCCAAGGAGAAGAAAATGTTTGTGAAATACTCATGGATGGGATTTTGCCATTATGGGCACACACAACTCATGTTACTTGGCTAATTTTTTATTATTATTATTATTATTATTATTATTATTATTCTACTCTGAATAGTTTACAATTGTTCAACTGTAAATTTAATGAAGAAACCCATCTTCTGGATTCTCACAATCTGCTACACTCACACACACACACACACATCCCAAATCAAATAAGCATTAACCTAGCTTAGCATATGGGTGAACCCAAGGTTCAAGGTCTGCACCTGACCTGGTTAAGCAGCTTGTGTGAACACAACTGCGGATGCAAGCTGATTCAGGGAGGTCTTAATGATCATTTCTCCAGTAGCTTACAGCTTCTCTGGGTTTTCAAATGTCATTCAGAAGGACAGGTTAAAAGAAAAAAAAGTCAAGATGCCAGCCATGAATACATGATATATATAAATCATATAAATAAATAAAAACTTGCATATTTACTCAAAGGCTTATAAACATTTTTTTTTAATCTTCCTCCACAAGTCAAATAGTCTCCTACCTTTTTTTTTCAAGGCAGAAGAAAGAGCAGAAAATTTAAGCTTGACTGTAAGAACAAAAGCTTTAAGACTGAACAAAGAATCTGGAGCAATTGCTCTGAATCAGGGCTACAAAATCTTTAACTGCGCATAATGTCCGTAGCTGAACCGTTAGGTGGGCAGAAGTCTACGGCTGATAGATTCAATGTTGGCTTGAAAATCTAATCAATTCTGTTCATTAATGGTTCCTCCTCAGATTGAAAAAGGGTATCTGTGAGCGTCCAGAACGTTTCATCCTGGATGCTCAACACATCAACATTTTTATTAATGACCTGGATGAAGAGATCAAAAAGAAGGACCACTTTACCAGATCTGCAAGGAACAGCTAAGACTCTAGGAGCCAGCAATAAGATTCAAACTGCTCTTGCGCAGACAGAGAAACGGGCTAAAAGTAACAGCATGAAATTTAACACAGTCAAATGCAAAGTTTTCACTTAGGAAACAAAATCTGCATTTGGAGGATGACAGTGCATGATCAAGCTCTGCTCTTGCTTATGTGGGCACGATGCCATCTTGACTTTTCTGACATCTTCCCCCATGGATGCCCTGCTTGGGATAGTAATGGGACTTGTGAAAAAGATCTTTTAATAATAGTTGGTGGCAAAGCAAATGTGCATTTACAGGCTGCCACAGTGGCATATAAGGCAAAGGCAATTCTGGGCTGCCTCAACTGAAGAATCCTTTCTGTATTATGGGACCACTTTACCCTGTGTTGGTCAGACCTATCTTGAGTATTGTTCAGCCGTAGGCACCACCCTTTAAAGCAGATGTGAGGCAAGCTGGAACAGGTTCAGAGAAGAGCTGTGGTGGAAGAATGAGACATAATGAAACTCTTTTATGAAGAGAAACTGAAAAGTCTGAATGTCTTTCCCCTTCAGAAGGGAAGATCAAGTGTGGCCCTGAGCGCATTCTTCAGATTCATGGAACGGTGCCACACAGAAGCCGAGACCTGGCCTCCTGTTATGCCTGAGGGCAGAGCGTGAAATGACAGATGGGACTTACAGGAAGGCAGATCCTGGCTGAAAGTTAAGGCAGCCATGGAGGCCTTGGAAGAGATCTTCAGATGCTGTGAACCTACAAAAACCTACAAAATACCTACAAAGATCAGAATCATGCAAGCCGTGGTATTCCCAGTGACATTCTATGGAAGCAAAAGTTGGACCTTGAAGAAGATGGATAGGAAGAGTCTTGACACTTTTGAACTTTGGTGTTGGAGAAGACTCCTGAGAATACCGTGGATGGCCAAGAAAATCAACAAATGGATCATCAAATAAATCAACTCAGAGTTCTCACAAATGACCAGGCTCAAATGATCCTACTTCAGTCACATAATGCTAAGACCCAGCTCTCTGGAGAAGGCTCTAATGCTGGGAGAGGTGGAAGAAAAGAGAAGAGGACAACCAGCAGCCAGGTGGAGGGACTCTATTATAGTGGTGATGGGGGCACTGTTGGAAGTCCTGAAGGCCAAGATTAGGGACAGATTGTCATGGAGAAAATCTATGTGGTCACTAAGAGTCGACACCAACTAGATGGCACATAATCAATCAATCAAGAGAAGTTTGATTATGGACCCCTTGACTGAGAGAGGTGGTAGGGTTTCTCCACCTTGACAACCTTCAGATGTGTCAATTTCAGCTCCCAGAATTCCCCAGCCAGCATAGCCACGACTGAGGATTCTGGGAGTTGGAGTCCACACCTCTGGAATTGCCCAGGTGTAAATGGTCCCTTCCAACTGGCTGAGTCTATGAAATGCCAGAAACCTGAAGTCACCTCTCTGCACCATCACTGGATGCATCCCAACTTTCAGTCTATGAGATGGCTGTTGAAGTCATCCTAGGTCTCTCCCCAACCCTATAATAATAGCCCTATAATAATTTAGTAAAGAGAGAAATGATTTTTACCTGTGAAGTTAATTTGGAAAGATGCTGTTTTAAATGTTCTCTTAGGCCAGCCTTGTTGTGTATGCATCTCAAACCAGCCCACCATTTCGGTTTTGATGCCCATTTAGACAGGTCCCCTTCTACAGCAAAAGGCAGCCAGCTCCAGACAGCTATATTAATCATGCAGACGATATGATTTTATCTGAGAATTTCTACAGGCCTTTGACATTACCCAGTTTCATAAATCAAAAAGTTGCTGCAGACATTTGCAGACACTGATTTATGGCCCGGTTCCTGGCTCTGAATTAAACAGCATTACAGTGATGTGAATTGGCTTAATTGACAGTTAGGGATTTAATGTGGGTAAATTCTGTTGCAGAAGAGTTACTTTAACCCTTCAAGGATGTTCTTCAAGCTTGAAGCCAGAAAATAAAATAAAATAAAATACAATGCAGTAAAATTAAATAAATAGAAAGATTTTGGTATGCAAGTTCACCCTTTATTGCTACTCCTGCGTGAGGTCGAATAGCCTGACTGTCACAGAGCAGTGTTTCTCTTTTTTTTTTTAAACTAATATTTATTAAAGAAGTTTTTTTACAAAGTAAAAACAATACAGATTTAAAGAAAAAAGAAAGTAAAGTTATAATGGGGAAAAAATGAAAGAAAAAGGAAAAAGAAAAAAGATATAAAGAAATGGCTTCAGATCTTCTTTACAGCAGTTATACATGTATTTATTTTATTTATTTATTTATTAATTTCTCTCCGCCCATCTCCCCCCCATGGGGGACTCTGGGCGGCTCACATAAAGCATTAAAACAATAAATATATATAAATACATATATTTAGGTATGTATTTATATATACATTTATATTTTATCCTTTCTCTCTAAGGTTACATCACGGCTCCCTTCTTTCCATATTCTACCCTTTCTCATCATCAAAGTCATTAATCACAATTTTTCAGTTTTCAACAAAAAGTATAGAACAGTATTTCTCAACCTTGGTAACTTTAAGATCTGTGGCCTTCAGTTCCCAGAATTCCCCAGACAGCATGCACAGACACACGGAATTCCTTACTCGTTTTATCTTTATTATTCCGGGGCACTGATCTGAATATGACCACTGCTATTCTGGTCAAAATATCTTTGAGGGCATTGGCACACAGATTCCTCTTCCGCCAAGAAAAGCCACTTCCTACTGGGGGAAGGGATCATGCAGGTAAGATACCTACCTTCTGGGGCAGCCAACTTTAAGGCCCGGTCCAGGAGGATTACCAGAGTAAGGACCATCTTGATGCATGATGTTTTCATCTTTCTACAGCAGATGGCCCTCAAGGGGAAGAGGCATCATTGAAAAGTTTGGGGATGCAACGTCCTGCAACAGAAAAGGAAGTTTTGGGTTCACCTGGGACCGTAGCGCTCACTCAAGTTCAGCCAACACATCAGCCCTTTGTAAGCAAAGGGGAGAAAGCATTTCACCCAACTTCTGTTCAGATGGATCACATCTGCCACTTCCAAACCAGCATGGCACTTTGGTGGGAGAAAATGGCACTCTGAGCCAATATTAGGACAGACAATGAATGCGACAGCGATTGTACAGGGCCTTGCACAGAAGAAGCACTCTCTCAAACAGGTGGGCAGGTGTTGTGTTCCTCATCCTCCCCCGCCCCCATCTCACCCAGTCTGCAATCCCCTTCCCCAGGTGCCCTCCCTGGTGTCTCTCCCTTGCTGGGGAAGTCTTTGGTCTATCCTTTGAGTGATAGCAATGTCATTTTTATTTCTCTGAGCCTTTTTCTACATTTATACTTCAATACTTTATGCTGGAACAGAGCTTTTCAATTAATTTTTGATCTGCTGCTCTTCTGCTTATTGTTCATGTATTATGTGTTTTAGCTCCTTTTTAAAAAAAATTAAATATTTGCCTTAAGTTTTAAAAGGTGATCCAAGAGGTTTTCACAGGAGGGATCAGCACCTGGGAGCCATTCTCTGCTGATCTTGAAAGTGCTAGCTGGGGAATTCTGGGAGTTGGAGTCCACACATCTTAAAGTTGCAGAGCTTGGAAAACACTGTCAAGAACATGGAGGTAGATACATCCAACTGTCTAATGGTAGGACTAGTCCTGGATAGGACCAGAAAGGAACTGCATCGTAGGTCTTTTGGTGCCCAAACGCTGCATTTAATATTTGGGACAGGATTCACCAAGCAAATGGGTAGGATTGTTTGATCAAGCCACTGCAGGACCCCCAGATTTCTTGTGACCCATTGGGTATACAGATCTGAAGAGGATGCAGACTGTAAAACAACAAACAAAGCAAAAACAAAGAAATACCAGAGGAAAGAGAAGTCAGATTAGTTTTTCACTTGAGTGTGGAAAGGAGTTGTGCCAACTGGAAACAAAATGGTATTATGAGTTGTTTGAAAGGAAGCCAAATTTACTGGAAGGAGGGCGAGATTAGCTGGTAAGGAGATAGGCTGACAGATGGATGAATGGATGGATAGATGGTGTTTGGCTTCAGCGCCAACCTAAAATGGGGAGGGTCTTTCTACCATCATCCAACCTACTCTCTTTTCTTTCTTTGCTGCTCCAACTATCATCTCATGAGCTTTGCACCAAAGAGCCATCACAAAGTAGACTCTGTTGTCCTGGGATGAGGGCTTCCCCTATCCTTTCTAACTGTCCCACAAGAAGTCAGCCTTCTTCAGAGGGCTGGTGGGGCAGAAGACCATGACCTGCAAGGAGGCTCCCGAGTTGTGAGAAGGCAAGCCCAGGAGGACAGAGAGGCATCCGCATGATTTATCTTCCAACAACAAGGTCCATCATGAAGGAGATACAGCTGGACTGAATGAGAGAATTGTAGAATCGGAATATGAAAGGTATCGCAAGGACCATCTGGTCCAATCCTCTGCAATGTGCAGGCAAACCAATTAAATCTTTACATCGGCTCACTTCTCTGATCTCTTTAAATCACTCTTTGTGGTGGTAAAGTCCTGGCAGGAGCAGTAGCCAATATCTTGAGCGCTTGCTTCTACCACTGTCTCCCCCATAGACTTCAGGGTGAAGGAACATCCTGTAGCTATTTCTGAGTGAGGAGAACAGTCCTTTCTCTTTTCATCCTATTGTTCTCTGGATTAAAAGAATATTCGGGAGTAGCAGCGCCAAGTTTGACATCTCCATTTCTCTGTTTTCATATCCCTCCCTTAAATCCCACAAATGCCCAATGGGGCATTCTGCTAATGGGGCCTGGAAGGGCTCAAGCAGTTTTCCAACTTGTTGTCTCCTGAATATCCCTAGATTTGCTCCCTCTCTTCCTTCTTTCTTTCTGTCAAGAAAGCATTAGCAAATTGAGGAGGACATCTTTCCCTAGCAAGTTGCTTTGCCCCTGAGCAAAGAGTCTGCAAGGTGGCATGTTCCAGCCACTCCCCAGAGGGTTTCTCTCCTGCCTCACCTTCCAAGATCAAGTGCTGAGCCCAAGATGAAATCAAATGTGTGCCTTGCCCTGTCTCAAGCCTTCCTCTTTGGTGAAACAGGTTTCCATTTTCCTATCTCATTCTCGGGGAGTTTGAGAATTTGAAGATTCTAGACCAGCAGACAGTTTGAAGATTTCTTGGTGGGGCTTTGGAGCTTTTGGTCTTGTTGGAGGGACCAGAGGAAACTACCGCTGCTCTAGATTTTCTGAGTGTCTATACATTGTTTTTCTTAGTGTTTGTTCCACGTGGTGGCAAACACTGCTTTTTCCACACTGGGCTTGTCTAGCAAAGCTACCAATGCAGGATGCATGGAGGGGTCTTGCTGTAGGGCCTGAAGGGCTGTGCTGAAGGGACTGGCCCAAAGTCACTGAGGGAGTTTCCATAGCTGAAGGGGCCTTGGACCCAGATACCTTTGCTCCGAGTCCAGCAGCTTCATTCAATCCATTGCTGGCTTTGGAGCTGAGAGGGGAGGACTTGTCCAAGGTCACCCGATTGGGTTCCATACCTGAAGGAGAACTAGAACCTGGGTCTCTCTGCTCTTAGCCCAGCACCTTCATCAGTACTCCACCTTAGATCTTGGGCTGAGAGAGAAAGAGAGACTGGCCCAAACATATGCACTCAATTGTTTCTGTCTCCCCATCCATACAAAGACCTGATTGTTCTGATTGCCCTTTTTTATATCTACCCCATGCTGGCTGGGGAATTCTGGTAGTTGAAGTCTACCCATCTTAAAGTTGCCAAGGTTGAGAAACACTGCTGTAGCATCTCTGAGGAAAGGGTGAATTCCCTTATAAAGTATTTCTTTGGGTGAAGTATGGGAAGGGAGAAAGAAGGATGGAGGCAGGGGTGGAATTCCAATCATGCCACCATCTTGACTCTTTTGACCTCCCTTATGGACACCCCTACCCAGACAGGCTGTACGATGCAAGATAGGGAATTCAAAACGGGCTTGTTCTGAAATTTCCATCAAAATTTCCTCTCTTTCAGAAGGAATTTTGGACAGTCAATTCTAGTTCAAGACCTTCCAGACTCTGGAGAGGCTCCACGTGAAACAGCTGGAACCAAGGGGGACAGTCACAGACTCGGAGCAACACCTCTTTGAAAAAGAAGCCGGGCAGAAAAACTGATCGGCAGAGCCTCACGAGCTTCATGTTTGCAAACGGGTTGACTCACTCTACCTCTGGCAAGCCATGGCAATTGCTCAGGGCTAGACTGAACTTTTAAACTTTCTTTAGACACTTACAGTGACATGCACAGCTTAGCAGGCACCCTTGGTAGGGGAAAGGATGCCTCTGGCTGGCCCCCAAATATTTGGCTCCTGCTTTCCCACCTGGCCCTGAAGGTGAAAAGGCTGAACCTTAAACCTCCTGTCCCAACCTATCGCTCTCCTGAAGTGATGGGTTCGCAGCTCCTAGTAGGGAGGTTTGGGGAATTGTGGGCTCAACCTATCTAGAGGGTGGGAGGTTGGGTTGGCTATAAGCAACCTTGTGTGCACGCGCTGTTTGCTGCCCAGATCATCCCAATAAAATGGGAAGGGTCCCAAAATATCCCATGTGGAACTTCAGGTGGAGACACTTGGGTTTCTGGTCAGAGCATTGGGTTTATCTGCCAACAGTGGCCCAGATGTCTGCAAGTAAAATATTATAATATATCTCAGAGGGGATCATTGGAAGGGCAGTTCCTCCCCCTGATTTTTAATTAACCAAGATTCCTTGCAATGACATCCACAGGGGTGCTGAGATGGCAATGCGTGATGACGTTTTGTCCCTTTTTTACACGCATGTAGAAAAGGAGTGGGGCGGCAGTCATGCAGTTGTGACCCCCCTCTTGACTTTTTTGACGCCTCCTCCCTTGGGGGATGCCCTGATTCCTTGCCAAGGCACCCAGAGCTATCCATCCTCATACTGTCCCTTTTTTCCATTTGGGGCCCCCTCCACCTTTTCAAGAGCAACAAAATGCTCGCCTCCAACTTCCAACTGGAGCATGTTCCTTTTCGTTGCCCATATCTCATTATAGGGATATGGATCGCTGGACTAAGATTCCTGAACTCAACTGGTACATCTCTAGTGCTAGTTCATATCTGGTAGCGATTCCCGAGTGCACACAGAAAACGACCAGAGCCGTTCAGAATTCACAAGAAAGGTTGAAATCCGCTTTTTCCTCCCGCACTGGGGACTGAACTTCTCTCAATTCTCTCTGGCAGTCACTGTCTGAAAAGCACTCTTTCCTATCCAGCACCCTGCAGGGTGTTAACCACTATTCCAGCATCCGTACCCCCACAGGCTTTAGTGGTGCGTGCTAAGCATCATGGGAGATGGAGTCCAATACATCCGGAGGGGTTGGGGAAAGCTGTAGCTGACAGGTGCAAGTTTCGGTGGGTGGGAGGTGTTGCATATCCACCATCTCCCTTCTGTCAATCAGGGAAGTTATAAACAGGCAGGGAGCTTATAACATAAAGAAGCTCTTGATGCCAAGAGCTGCAGTTTGGCTGCTTTCAAGGCACCCCAAGGCTGCCTTTTCGGCGGCGGGGTTCGAGTCTCCTTGATTGCAAGGGGCAAGATTGGCCCCTGGGATCAGGGAGGCAGGGAAGCGCTCGGCTTAGATCTCATCTGGGGCCACGGGTGGCCACGCCAGGCTTTCCTTCGGTGGGAGACCCGGACAGATATCAAGGAAGGTGAGAGCGAGACTACTTACTTGCACACGTGAAAGGCCCACGCTCTTGAGGGGGGAGGCCCAGGGATGGTCGGCGAGGCCTTTCGAAAGCATCCAAACCCCCCAGGCGAAGCGGAGGGCTGGGCGGGCGCCCAGAACTTTCCTTCCAG